CACTTTATCCGAGTAGATCTCAACGCTGTTGGCCTCGTATTTGCGACCCTATTGGCCATCACATCGGATCCAAACAAACAATCATCACATTTGGCCACAAATCATGGCTTGTGTACTGTTATGACATTACCGGCGCGTCTCTGAACCTGAAGATCCTGTACAGTCTGGGACCAGTCAAGTGCTGCCAAAACTCACTCAAAGCCATGTCTGCGGTCGCGATCTATGTCTTCAGTTGTCTTCAGTTGTCTTCAATTGTCATCAAATGGATTGCACTTCAGTTTCATTCATACAATGAGTTTGTATTTAATTTCACTTTTCAATCACTGGTTTGCACTCAACTGCACACCAATTACGGCCACACATGTCAGCCCCCATTCGCCCCCCCACTGCCCCCCAATCATACGGTTTGCCATCAAATGCATGGGAATTAGATTTAATTGTCATTACATTTAATTGCATTCAATAGCTGTAATGACTTTTGTAATTGGTAACTTTTGTAAACTACTGGTGTATGTGCTTATAATTGATGACTTATTAAACTACAGTACGTTTACGAGTATAAGAAAAGTTGAACAAAATTATTAATATTAAGTTAAGTTTTAGTGAAATTATCAAATGAAAGGGAAAATCCATAAGCGATTTAGTTGTAAATCATTAAAATGACTCTTTCCATGCATTTCAACTCAATTATAACTTCTTAATTAGCAATTAGTTATAAAAGTGTCACGAAATCTACTTTTATAGCAGAATCGCATGAAATACTTTCTTAACATGAGGTCACGAAATATATAACGTAACCTATGATGGAGAGTGCAAATGAAGTGTTTGCCGTACGTTACCGTTGAAAGTTGAGTAAAAGGGTATTCATAATAAGCATTGGGGAGCATATGGTAACAGCGGTTGTGTGTGACGTGAAGGTCTCGCCCTTGAAGTCTATCACTTCACTACACGTCAGTCTCGCTATAATGAACGCCATCGCTATCATTGCACACAATGACCGTATAGTGTCCACCAAACTAGCTTATAAGCGGTACAAACAAAAATAAGCAGGCACATACACAATTATAATTGAGTGTATTAAATACACACGATGATAAGAAGTGGACCAGGGTGAGTTTGCATTGGGATACTCCCCCATAGGTGTACATTGTGTGCGAGTGAAAGGGCGAGAGACAGACAGTCTATTGTCGTTGAGTGGCATTACGCGAGCGATTGCATGTCATGGTGTGTGTTGTGTGCATCATATCGTGAGTGTGTGGTGTGTGTTATAAATGGCATTCACTGTGACTGAGAGTGAATGCAAAGAGTGTGTGATCTGTGAGTGAGAGCTGACATGAATTGCAGTTAACGTTAGGTTCGCTATAATGACTACACAATTGATAATTATTGCCACAAAACATACACTCAATTAGCCATTCATTACTCCAAGAGATGACAATATGGCGGATATGATGGCCTCCAATCCATGCACTCACCACCATTTGATGGTAACTATCTCTCCCATTATCCATGCATTCAATGTTTTATTGTCTTTCGCCACAAATTCATTGAAACGTCTATTGATTGCGTCTATTGTTTATCAATTGATTCAATGGTTTATCTGATAAGTTGTGCACTTGTTTTGCCAGTATTTGGTTGCTATGATTGACTCCTGAGGTCTGACACTACCACTACCACCACATCCGATGCGTTGGAACCACTGATTGATTGTCTGTTTGTTATGATGTGGTTGTTGTGAGCGCTCGACAAACGAGACAATTATCTGTTATTTATTTTGACACCAATTTGTGTGCAAATATTTGTGACTATTATTTGTTTGTGTGGTTATTGTCCACCATTTGTGCCCGTCTTTGTGGCCATCAATTGATGGCAGTATGAGTTGAGTGGCAATGGATGCACTTGTGGTCAGATGTTTGTCAATGTAATCACTGGTCGCCACCAATCGTCTCATCACTTGTTCGCAACTCATGATTCGTCGAAACCAATGAATAACCCGAAGACAGGTACGAGTAGTGGTGTGTGACATGTGTTGATAGTAATGCTGACCACAACTGGTGTCTCAGAAACAGGAGGAGCGTCTCCGTTGCCGTTACGGCCGGTCAGTACTCCGGTGACAGCCATTCATCGGACCAATTGTCTGCCGAATTCACCCAATTCTATGCACTCGAGGAGCCACTCGACGACACCGGAACTCAATTACATTCAATCGCAACACCACTCCGTCATCACCACCAATGCTATCGACTCGAGTGCTAATCAAATGGGTATTTCTATTGATGTCTTATGGGCGCAACTCTTGTCATTATAATTGGTTTGATTTTCTATGGATATAGCGATGCAA